AATGTGGTCTCCTCTACATTGGGGAAACGAAGCATAGACTGGGTGACCACTTTGTAGAACATCTACGTTCTGCTCACAAAACAGACCCTGAGCTACCTGTTGCCTGCCACTTTAACGCACCACCCTGTTCCCAGACCAACATCTCTGTCTCCGGCTTGCTGCAGTGTTCCAGCGAAGCTCAACGCAAGCTGGGAGAACAACACCTCATTTTCTGCTTTGCGACCCTTCAGCCTTCTGGACTCAATATCAAGTTCAATAATTTTAGGGCCTAAGCTCTCCCATGTCCCAGCCCCCTACCCCACACATCGGGCCTTGTTATCACATAGCCTGCCATTACACACACCCTGTTGTTAGTCACTGACAGTCCCCATTAACAACTATTCACCCTCCCAGCCAGATCGTTATCAACTCCTTTGTCTATCCCACTGTTCTTCTCTCTCTTTAGGCAATATCCTATCGTTTACTCCCTACCCCACTCCACTCCGTATTTTCTGCATATAAAACGATGTTTTCCCAGCTACCGTCAGTTCTGAGGAAGGGTCACCGGGCCTGAAATGTTAACTCTGATTTTTTCTTCACAGATGCTGCCAGACCTGCTGAGCTTTTCCAGCAACTCCTGTTTTTATTAGTGTGTCGAGGTTGGGGTGGGTGTTGCTCTGTGAGATCGGGAGCTCGTTAGAGAGGGAACACAGTTTTTATTCCTCAGTCAGAGAGCAGGTGTTGCCTCCGAGCTTATGCCCCCTGAAATTTCAGCACACAGACCCTTCCTCCCCCAGTTTTGGGAAGCCTATTTGTAAGTCCAAGGTCTACCACTCTACAGCAGCAAGACAACTAGAAAGCAAGCACAGATTGAGACCCCAGATCAACCTTTAAAAACAGTGTGACACTTTTCTTTGAGTCAACGCCTTCAGTCAGAATCATCTTACCAAGTTTGAGTCGGTGGGAGCGTGATATTTCTCTGTGCCCATGCGTACCAGCCCATCATTGTACAGGAATATGCGCAGTGGGTCGCAAGAGGTCACCAGGATGTAGATACGTAGGTCAAACTTGTAGCCCTCCAAGAGAAATGGTTTATCGAGGTATTCCTGCACGATTAAGTGTTCTTGTGCTTGAAGCTTCTCACCGTTTCTTATCAATGAAATTCTAGAGGATGAACAAACAGTACAAGGGAAGTCACATGGTAGGCTTGTCTATAAGACATAAGAGTAGAAGTCAGCCTTTCAGCCCATCAGATCTGTCTTCACAATTCAATGAGTTTATGGCTGTCTGATAATCCTCAATTCCACTTTCCTGCCTTTTCCCCATACCTGTTGAATCCCTTACTGATGAAAAATTTGTGTCTCTAATCCTTCAATATACTTAATGAGTATCCTAATGGAACCCTCTATGGTGAAGAATTCCACAGATTCACTATCCTCCGAGGGAAGAAGTTCCTTCCCTGGTTATGACCCCTGCAACAATGGGAAAAGTCTCTTCTCGTCTATTCTATCTAAGCCACTCGTAATTTTATACATCTCAATCATGTCCCGCTCAGTCTCGACTTCTCCAAGAGAAACAACTCTGGTCTGTCCAATCTCTCAACATGGCCAAAACTCTCCAGTCCACTCAATATCCGGGCAAATCTCTCTCCATTGTGATCACATCAATGACTTTCCTTCCTCATAAGGTCAGAAGTGGGGACATTCGCTGATGATTGCACAATGTTCAGCATCATTCACAGCTCCTCAGATACTGAAGCAGTCCATGTTCAAATGCAACAAGATCTGGACATTGAGGTTGGTTGGCTCGCCGAGCTGGTTTGTTGTTCCGCAGACGTTTCATTACC